TCTGTGTTCTCCTGTCCTGCCACATCCGCACTTATACTAGTTGACTTCAATCCTGTCAATCTCCATTCCAAAGGTTAGGGCGCCTCTCATCTCCATTCCAGGGAGCAAAGATCATGCAGCTTAAGCATGATTGTTCATAGCCAAAGTGACCAACTACCCGCCTGGCACCCAGTTAAGGGGTTTTACCCCTTCCCCAACTTCAGGGAAAAATCCCTACCTGGGGAAACAACCTTTCTCGGAGAGGTGACCTTGGTCAAAACACATAGTGCCAAGAAGGTGAGCAAACATTAAGAACAGTATGCCATATACGCCAGTTCCCTCGAAACATATGCTGTGCAGATGTCTCTTCCCTGCAGCGACTGTGTCAAACAGCAAGGATGGACTGGCTTCCGGCATGACATGAATTAGTATTTATATGGACTTGGAATGGTTGCAACTTGATCAATATGATTAATACTACTATAATTTTGAATAGCAAACATGCCACTATAACTAACATATAGTGTGGGGAGGGGGTGGGCAGAAGCAAGGGAAAGGGGATCAGTCGGGGAAAAGAAGGACATTTTGTAAAACTTTCACCAATAAATTTAAAAAAACATAGTGTACGTGTGTCAAGGAAAGGAAGAATTTATTTTTTTACCTTAATTTCTTTTTACCTTAATCATTGTTACTTTCCTATATTGCTTCTTAACTGGTGAATTTGAAACACTTTAGCTTTGCAAAACATGTTATACAACTTGAGTTTTAGCTTGCTGTCAAGCCCTGTGTTATTCTCACTCTAGACTAGCGGGTCTAAACCTGTGGGTCGAACGACCCTTTCACCGGGGTTGCCTAAGACCATTGGAAAACACATACATAATTACATATTGTTTTTGTGATTAATCACTATGCTTTAATTATGTTCAATTTGTAACAATGAAATTGGGGGTCACCACAACATGAGGAACTGTATTAAAGGGTCGCGGCATTAGGAAGGTTGAGTACCACTGCTCTAGACTGTTGGCTATAACTTTGCTACTGACTTCTAGTATGCCAGTAGATATTTTGTAATAGAAAAATAATTTTGATCTTTGTTTGGGAAGAGAGTTTTAGAACTATTCTAAAAGTTTGACTTCTGAAATTTGTGTGATTTAATGTATAGATCCACTAATATATTTGAAATATAAATGTACCCAACTTTTAAAATCTAGATAAATATTTCTTTTAAAGCATTCAGAAAGGGACCAAAGGGTGTGCAGACTTTCAGTTATAAAAGAAACTAGAGGCCCGGTGCACAAAAATTTGTGCACTTGGGGGAAAGGGGGTCCCTCAGCCCGGCCTGTGCCCTCTCATAGCCTGGGACCCCTCGGGAGATAACGACCCGCTGGCGTAGACCTGCTCCCGGGTGGCAGAGGGCAGGCCCAATCCCTAGGTGCAGCCCCTGGTCAGGCTCAGAACAGGGCCGATTGGGGAGTTGGGGTGCCTTCCCCTGTCATGCACAGAGCAGTGGAGATTGGGAGGTTGCAATGCCACCCTCAGTCACGCTCAGGGTAGGGCCAATTGGGGGGTTGGGGCACCACCCCTTGTCACACTCAAGGCAGGGTCGATGGGGAGGTTGTGGCGCCTCCCCCGTCACGCACAGAGCAGGGCCCATCAGGGGTTTGGGGAGCTCCCCCCTGTCATGCACAGAGCAGGGCTGATCAGGGGGTTGAGGAGCTCCCCCCTGTCACTCACAGAGTAGGGCCGATAGGGGAGTTGGGGCACCCCCCCCTGTCACACTCAGGGAAGGGCAGATCAGGGGGTTGGGGCGCTGCTCTCTATCACCCACAGAGCAGGGCCGATCAGGTGGTTGGGGCGCTGCCACTCTCATACTCAGGGCAGGGCCAATGGGGAGGTTATGGCTCTACCCCGTCACACACAGAGCAGGGCCTGTGGGGGGCGGGGGGGTTGTGGCCCTGTCCCCTGTCACACACAGAGCTGCAGGGCGATCAGGGGGTTTGGGCACTGCCCCCTGTCATGCTGATCTTGGTGCCGGGAGGCCTCACGGCTCTGCTGATCCCAGTGCTGTGAGGCATATTACCCTTTTACTATATAGGGTAGAGGCCTGATGCATGGGTGGGGCTGGCTGGTTTGCCCTGAAGGGTGTCCTGGATCAGGGTGGGGGTCCCCATTGGAGTGCCTGGCCAGTCTTGGTGAAGGGCTGAGGGCTGTTTTCAGGCTGGGACTGAAGCTCCCAACCGCTCCTCTTTTTCTTTTTTCTTTTTTATTCTGGGCCAGCTTTAGCTCTGAGGCCTCGGCTGCTGTGAACAGGTTTCTGGCCTTTGCTTACCGTCTGTATTTGATACAATGTTGTGGTCCGGCTGGCTGAAGCCCCACTGGGAACGTTGGAGTCCTCCGTCACTGAAGCAAGCAAGCCTCCCTGTTCGCATCAGCTGCCTGGCTGCCGGCCGCCATCTTGGCTGCCAGTTAATTTGCATATCTCGCTGATTAGCCAATGGGAAGGGTAGCGGTCATACGCCAGTTACCATGTTTCTCTTTCATTAGTGTAGATAAGTAATGGGGATATAATGTATAGTGTGGTGACTGTAATTAATAATATTGTATTGCATATTTCAAAATTTCTGAGAGTTGATCTTAAAAGTTTTTATCACAAGAAAAAACATTTCTGTAACTGTATGTGGTAATTCATGTTAACTAGACTTCATGGTGATCATTTCACAGTGAATACAAATATTGAATCATTATATTATACATCTGAAACTAACATTACATGTTAATTATACCTCAATTTTTAAAAAAGCACTAAGAAATGACAGTGTGGTTTGAAAAAAATACTTAATTTTAAAATCATGAAAATAATATATGTTCAAGGTAAAAAAAATTTAAGAGTTTCAAAAACAAATGAAACGAAAGTCTTTCTCCCCTTCATTTGACCTTCTCAGTGCAACTTTTAGAGATGTAACTGTTGTTAACAATTCTCTGTGATCCCTTAATGAAATTGAAATGGGAAATTTGGACTGGAACCGCGGTATTCCTTGAGTAGGATGGCTTCCCAGGCTCTTGTCCAGTGGAGTCAAAGAATGAAACCACGGATGAAAGATGGTATCGTAAAAGGTGGAAATTTATTTATTTCTCAATAAATTTCTGTAGCCCTGGGCTACAGAGTTACATTTCCATATGATAAGGGAGCTGGGTGTAGCAAAGGTACATATTTACAAAATGAAGGAAGATGGAATAGGAGAAGAATAAGGAAGAAGATGGAGGGAACCTCATGTACTTCGCGTGAAACTTGAGCTCTGGAGTTGCTATAGTGACCAAATCAAAGGGGAATAGTGACCCAGGCCAGCAGGGGGGGGCAGTTAGGGGCGATCGGGCCAGCATGCAGAGACAGTGAGGGGCCATCTGGCCGGCGGTGGGGATATCAAGGCACAGAGATCTGCAGCCTTTACAGACCATAGGAAAAAGGGGCTCAGTGGGACTCTTCCCCCTCCCCACGGGGGAGTCGGCAGGGGGGTTAGTGAGGGACGACCAAACGACTGAACAGCAGGCTGTGTGGGGCAACCAGGTCGGTGGGGGGGCTGTGAGGGGTAACCAGCCCGGCAGGGAGGGCAGTTGGGGGCGACCACGCCAGCAGGGGGGGCAGTTGAGGGCAACCTGGACGGCAGCAGCGGGCAGTTAGGGGCGACCAGGCCAGCAGGGGGGGGCAGTTAGGGGCGATCGGGCCAGCATGCAGAGACAGTGAGGGGCCATCTGGCCGGCGGTGGGGTGGGGGCAGTTAGGGGCAATCAGGCAGGCAGGAAGGTAAGCGATTAGGAGCTAGGGTCCAGGATTGTTAGAGGGATGTCCCCTGAGGAGTCCCAGATTGGAGAGAGTGCAGGCTGGGCTGTGGGGACCCCTCCCCTGTGCACGAATTTCATTTTTATATGTGGCCAGCCAGCGTTTTTATAACATTTACTAAATACTCGGCTGTTTTTTCTTCTGATTTGAAAAGCCTTGTTTATTCATCAGTGCATAGAAGTTTGGGTTGTTTCCACTTTTTAGATATTATGAATAATGACTCTATGAATGTTCAAGCACAGGGTTTTGTATGAATATATCTTTTCGTTTCTCTTGGATATATATCTAGGAATGGAATTGATGTTAATTCATGTTTAACTTTATAAGGAACTGCCAAACTTTCTAAAGCGGCTCCATAATTTTACATTCTTGCCAATGCTTGTTATTTTATTTTATTTTTTTAAATAGCCATTCTGATGGGTATGTATTGGTATCTTATTGTGTTTTTTTAAAATCCTCACCTGAGGATATTTTTTCCACTAATTTTCAGACAGAGTGGAAGTAATAGAAGGGGGGTGGAGAGAGAAAGAAAAATATTGATGTGAGAAAGACACCTGGATTGATTGCCTCCTGCATGCACCCAAGTTGGGGTTGGGGATCGACCCTGCAACTGAAGTACATACCCTTGACCGGGAATTGAACCCATGACCCTTTGGTTGGTGAGCCAATGCTCTAACCACTGAATCAAATTAGCCAGGGCTCTTATTGTGGTTTTAATTTGCATTTCCCTAGTGACTAACGATGTTGAACAT